ATTTCTCCCGTGTTCTTCTCCAAGTTAATGTAAACTTAATAATGAACTTCATCTGAATGTAATCATGATGTTGGTTTTTTGTGGAAAGCTCCAGTGAATGAGCATTAACTGATTTTAATAACATCACTTTAAATGGAGAGATCCCATAGGCCCCGCCCAACTCGATCGGTATCCGGCCGATACTGATTCTGGTGATCGGCCCCAAAAACCCCCGATCGGAGCATCCCTAATTTTAATAATGTAAAGAAAATGCATTTTAAAAATCGATGTTTATTTTTTTAGGGAAAAGATAAAACAGAGGAAATTAAATATTGTAGCGCAGGTTAGTGTTTGGAGGAGGATGATTATACATCTATATATTTTTAACAACCTACTGTTTGAGAGACACAGTCGCCCATTGACTATCACCAATGACGTGTTTGACGGATCGCTCTGGTGTCAGAATATCCTGTCTTACAGTACGTTTCCCTCTGCTTGCCAGACACTCTTCAATCTTGTCTTTTATCATTACAATGACTCCTACCCTTCATCTCTGACCTCCTTCCATCGTCTGGAACAATCAGTTTGACTGGCAGAGCGACGGAAATATAAAAGAGTTCATTAACGGAAACCTCAATGTCGTTGGAAAACGTCGCTTCACGAGGAAGTCCCAAGAGAACAAGGACGATTCTTCCTCTTTTCAAACGTTTATCTTTATACGAGAAAGGCTGAATAAAATACAGCGTTTCCAGAAAGTCAGCCTCATACAACAAACCCTACTGTGTATCTATACTAGAGGCGTGTGGCGCAGTGTATAGTGCGTTGGTGTTGGATCAGGTTCAAACCCCACTGCAGTCAGCATGTCGTTGTGTCCCTGAGACACTTCACCCCAAAGCGCTCCTGTGGGGGTTGTCCACAGTATTGAGTTTGTAATGTCGCTTTGGATAAAAGCGACTTACAAGTATTATAAAACGGACAAGCCAAAATCAAGCAATCTGATTGGTTCTTAGCTGTGGTATACTGAGCGTATACCACGGGTAGAATTGTAAGTTACTTTTCACAACAAGTCAGTATCCCCTCCGCGTCTGAGATAACAGTATACAGTTGGCCCGAAAAGCAAACTGCCTGCAGTTTGCTTTTCAAACTGGAACAAAGAAAGCAGCGGAGAAGTAACGGGGCAGAAACTAGGGCTGTGCGATTATGGCAAAAATCATAATCACGATTATTTGGGTCAATAATTGATATCACGATTATTAAATACGATTATTCATTGACTTTGAAAACATCCATTTATTGAACTTTAAAACAAATACAAATAATAATTTGACAGTATCTTTTTAACTGTTGATTACCCTGAACGTATAATTCAACTGAAAAACCAATACAAAAATAAATGATACATTTAAATAAATAATGTCAAAATAATAAATACCAATAAACAAGATCAACAAATATTTTGGAGCGCACTTCCACAAGCTACTAAACATATATAAAGGTGATAAATACAAATAAATTAGACAAAAATGTATTAAATCAAATATGTTGCAACCTAGCAAAGCTAAATAATTGTTTTTTTCGATTATGTTGTTTTCGTAATTGTGGCAGGCCAAAATCGTAATTGCGATTAAAATACGATTAATTGCACAGCCCTAGCAGAAACCCTCCTTTTTACGCAGCGGTCCAGACATAGACATCAAACGGCAAAACATATTCAGTGTGCAGTTCCTTTGGCATTAGGGCAGGGATATCTAGATACTTTCCAAGGTTTGAGATCATGAATTGTGCTACTTTTAAAGCAAGCAACGATGTTTTCAAATCTGTAATCAAAAAGGTCCGCAAAAACGCTATCGACCAATCAGATTGCTTGATTTGACTTGTCCGTTTATAAATATATTTACATTTCTTCCGTTACGAAACAAATTTACAAAGCATAACATGGACACATTTAAGATTAACTTCGACCTCCGGGGTGGTCTTACTATGGAGGAGTGGATTGAGGAGTGCCTATCTCCAGAAAGCACCTAAACGACGACATGCAGAGCTACGTGAAGAGCAGGTAGACCAACTGGAAAGGTACCACCATTCAAAAGCTTTCTGATGCGGGTCTTGAAACAAAGCAGAGAAATGATGACCGTTAGTGGCCACAGGTGAGAAAGCTCTCTCCAGAGCTACTGGAAGCCGAATCTCGGGGACCGGAGAAAGTGGAGCAATATTCTCGCCACGCCAAGCAACAGCCTAGAACAACCTCAGCCTATACAAGTAACCACGTAAGCCATGCTACTGATGCTGGACAGTTTTTCAGTGGCTGCACAATAAACGGCAACATACACATTAATGTAGATAAATAGCCAAATAATGGATCAACGCTCTCTGTCTAATATGTTCGCTAGCTGTTGTTAGTGTTGTTGCATAGCAACCACCTCGCACTATGTTTCGTGCAGAAGGCAACAGAGGGACTATTTTATTTTGAACATCATTATTTAATAATAAAAACTATTTAAATTAGAGTGTGTATTTTTCTTTCATATTGCCACACTTGGTAACCGTTTTATAAAAGCAATAGCTCACTTCAGGCCGTGATATATGGCCATTATATCACAGCTAAGGGGGTTGTCGACCCTCCGCTTCGCGTCGGGCCGAACCACGCCCCTTAGCTGTGATATAATGAGCATATACCACGGCCTGTCGTGAGCTATTGCTTAAACATGTCATGTATAAACCTACTCAAAGAAAAATCATTCAATATATAAAAAAGGAAAAGGATATTGAAAAAAAATATATATGTAATCAACGTAGTTACAGAACATTAACCGATAAAAGTCCATGTTTTTTTTATGTAGTTGTAAGTTGTTTGATTAGATGTATTGTCCCCCAGGTGGAAATTCATTTTCACAGCCCTGTAAATAGAACACAATATGCATACAATATAGGGCTGAACGATATATCGTGTCATGGCGATAACCGTGATATGCGCATGCGCGATATTCACATCACAGGGACGTGTGATTTTATATAACAAAAAAAAAAAAAAAAAATTTTTTTTTTTAGGACGTGCGATATTAAAGGTGGGGTAGGTACGTTTGAGAAACCAGCTCGAGATCGCTAGAATTTGAAAATACACAACCGGAGAAAATCTGCCACTTCCTTACAGAGCCCCTCCTCCAACACACACGAACGCGCACATGACCAATGAGGGCACGAGATAAGTTTGTGCACAGATGGAAGGCTGACAGGCAGGTAGGCCATCCAGTTATTTTAGCCGAGCCGGCTCAGATGATTGGTCGTGCTTTTTACAGTACTACGGCTTCCACAGATGATATTTATTTATGGATTTTTTGTCAAAGCACTTCAGATATTCATTGCTATCAGGATGTTAAGAGCATTCCATGGAATATAACAAAAAGTGTATCTTGAGCCGGTTTCTCAAACTTACCTACCCCACCTTTAAGCAGGTAAATTAACTCAAACACGACATGTTACAATTATTTTGCTGCTTGCTACAAAAGGAAAACTTGCGCGGCTCTCATGTCAGGGGTACTTGAGTGAGTGACATGCAGGCTCTGCATGCACAGCAAACCACCAATCACAATCAGTCTTGATCAGATCACAGCAGGCCCCGCCCCGCTAGTTTGCAGACCATCAAAACACCGGTAAAAAATGAGCGAGGCACAGGAGGACAATACCGGCGAGAATGAAGATTTACTTCCAAAAAGAAAAGCAACATCTGCCATCTGGAACTATTTTGGATACAAAAAGGTTCTTCTCTTCTTCATTCACTGATGAACCCCCTTATTTGAGGGTAAGCAACATGCATTATCATGACATGTTAGATCATGACTTAAAGGGGACCTATCATGCAAAATGCACTTGTGTACGTCTTTTCTACATGAATATGTGTCCCCGGTGTTCCAGGGAACTCACCAAGTGTCAGAAAACACAACCCTCTCTATTTTCCTCCATACCCAAATCTCTAAAAAAGGGGCTGCAACGGATCTGATAAAAACTGATCCAGATTTGAACATTTCTCTGATGTCAGGACGGAGGAGCTGACCTATCAGGGGAATGAGAGGTTGCCGTGGCATGGTAACAGCATGGTAACAGCATGGTAACAGCATGGTAACACGACGCTCGTAACTCGGCCCCCTCCTTTGCAGGGGGGCGTGGTCAGCTGCAGCGCATGCAAAGACAGGGTGGAGGAAAGCAAAATAGAGCGAAATGAGGCATGGCTAAAATCTGTTTGGTATTTTGAAAAATAAAATGTATAAATATACCTTATATAGGTATGGTCCTACAATATATCATTCAAATATAGCATGATAGGTCCACTTGGTATGATGAGTCAACCAGTTAAGATCCAGACGTCCATGACTAAAATCCTTCATCCGGTTAAATATAGTAAAAAAAAAAACGCAATATATCGCAGGGGAAAAAAATATCGCAATGTCAGTTTTTTTCAATATTGTGCAGCCCTAATACAATATATAAACAACAACAATAAGACACACAACAGGGGGTGAGGTACTGATTGAGTCCTCTCCTGCTGATGTTCAGGTGTATATCAGTATGTAGTGTCTCTACTTTAAAGAGTCCTCTCCTGCTGATGTTCAGGTGTATATCAGTATGTAGTGTCTCTACTTTAAAGAGTCCTCTCCTGCTGATGTTCAGGTGTATATCAGTATGTAGTGTCTCTACTTTAAAGAGTCCTCTCCTGCTGATGTTCAGGTGTATATCAGTATGTAGTGTCTCTACTTTAAAGAGTCCTCTCCTGCTGATGTTCAGGTGTATATCAGTATGTAGTGTCTCTACTTTAAAGAGTCCTCTCCTGCTGATGTTCAGGTGTATATCAGTATGTAGTGTCTCTACTTTAAAGAGTCCTCTCCTGCTGATGTTCAGGTGTATATCAGTATGTAGTGTCTCTACTTTAAAGAGTCCTCTCCTGCTGATGTTCAGGTGTATATCAGTATGTAGTGTCTCTACTTTAAAGAGTCCTCTCCTGCTGATGTTCAGGTGTATATCAGTATGTAGTGTCTCTACTTTAAAGAGTCCTCATGCTGATGTTCAGGTGTATATCAGTATGTAGTGTCTCTACTTTAAAGAGTCCTCTCCTGGTGATGTTCAGGTGTATATCAGTATGTAGTGTCTCTACCTTAAAGAGTCCTCTCCTGCTGATGTTCAGGTGTATATCAGTATGTAGTGTCTCTACTTTAAAGAGTCCTCTCCTGCTGATGTTCAGGTGTATATCAGTATGTAGTGTCTCTACTTTAAAGAGTCCTCTCCTGCTGATGTCCAGGTGTATATCAGTATGTAGTGTCTCTACTTTAAAGAGTCCTCTCCTGCTGATGTTCAGGTGTATATCAGTATGTAGTGTCTCTACTTTTAAAGAGTCCTCCTGTTGTGATTGGTCAACCTCTTTTAGAGATGTCCCGCCCCCTTAGCCTATCACGTACAATGTGCTGGAGCTGCTAGCCAATAGAAGTGCTAGTTTTCCGTAGTGATGTCACCACATTCCGGAACTTTAACCTTTACAGACCATTTGCATGCATAAAGAAACTTATAAAACACACTACAGAAAAAGGGGAAAAAAACCCAAAAAGCAGAATAGGGCTTTTTAAAGTTACTCCAGTGTATAACAGGAAGTTGATTTACTTTAAAACAATTATCAGATGATATATAGACGCCCCTTCTAAAATGTAACTACTTCTGTAATGGTAATAGTAGCTACCAGAATCAGTGTAAGGATAATAAACCACAATATATCAGAATCCTCTCAACACTAACCTGCTCTACAATATTTCATTTCCTCCGTTTTATCTTTCCCTAAAAGCAATTGTGGTATTTTACGGTGCCCAGTTTTTAGATGTATAATTATGATCTGCTTTGCATGCTTTAGCGCCCGTTTCCTGCCGCCAATTTTCTACTTCAGTGGGAACAAAAAAAAAATGTTCTTTTGTATTCTGGTCCAATGAAAAGGTTTCCCTAAACCATAAAAACTACCAAATATTTCAGCTAGTCGCAGAACCCCTGAAGCAAAATCAGAGTTATGAGAAAATGTGTCTTCTAGCTTCAACAATCCAATGTTTTATTCATCACTTCTGAATCTATGACTCTTACATGTTGTCTTTGAAATGGAAAATCCACCAAGAGCTGGCCATGCATTATAATCACACTCAGTCAGACTGATGGCCTCCTGCTCTTTGAATTACTCCACATTATTGAGAATGGTGTTTTCTGGTGCTTTGGTAATCTGAGCTCTCATTAAATATTTAAGCAATAGCTCACGACAGGCCGTGGTATATGGTCATTAGATCACAGCTAAAAGGGGGGGGGGTTCGGCCCGACGCGAAGCTTGGTTAAACGCTTACCAAGTGTGGCAATATGAAAGAAAAATACACACTCTAATTTAAATAGTTTTTAGGAGTAAATAATGATGTTCAAAATAAAATAGTCCCTCTGTTGCCTTCTGCACGAAACATAGTGCGAGGTGGTTGCTATGCAACAACACTAACAGCTAGCAAGGCAAGGCAAGTTTATTTATATAGCACCTTTCAACACAAGGCAATTCAAAGTGCTTTACAAAAATGGAAGACATTAAGAAAATGGCATTTAAAATCAGTCATTAAAAAGAAAAGATAATAAAATAAACATTAAAAGAAAAAATACATGGATAAAAGTTAAAAACAGCGAACATATTAGACAGAGAGCGTTGATCGAATATTTGGCTATTTATTTACATTAATGTGTATGTTGCCGTTTATTGTGCAGCCACTGAAAAACTGTCCAGCATCAGTAGCATGGCTTACGTGGTTACTTGTATAGGCTGAGGTTGTTCTAGGCTGTTGCTTGGCGTGGCGAGAATATTGCTCCACTTTCTCCGGTCCCAGAGATTGGGCTTCCAGTAGCTCTGGAGAGAGCTTTCTCACCTGTGGCCACTAACGGTCATCATGTCTCTGCTTTGTTTCAAGACCCGCATCAGAAAGCTTTTGAATGGTGGTACTTTTCCAGTTGGTCTACCTGCTCTTCACGTAGCTCTGCATGTCGTCGTTTAGGTGCTTTCTGGAGGTAGGCACTCCTCAATCCACTCCTCCATAGTGAGACCCCCCCGGAGGTCGAAGTTAACCTTACATGTTTCCATCTTAAGCTTTGTTAGTTAGTTAGATTCGTAACTGACGTAATGTAACAGTTGTAGCTTTTTCTCAGACGCGGAGGGATACTGACTTGTGAAAAGTAACTACAATTCTACCCGTGATATACGCGCATTATATCACGGCTAAGAACCAATCAGATTGCTTGATTTGACTTGTCCGTTTTATAATCATCCTTTGACACCCGTCTCACCACTAGCATTAGTTTCAAAGACAAACGTCACATCATTTTTGCAGGAAAACTCAATTTCTTCACTTTTTGTCACCGCACAGAAAGAGAGGGATACAGCAGTACCAAAGTAAGACTTCTATACTAGACTGCTGACGAAAATGAAACTGAAAATCGAGCTAATTTCTTCTGTTTTTGTCCCAAACTAAAATACTTCTTCATTGTAAAAAATGCCCTGTAGCGCAAAAAGTGGTCTAAAAACACCACAGGGTAACTTTAATATGAAGAACATATATGTATATCTTTCCGAAATGTTAGATACAAGCGCTGGGTTTATTAAAGGTCTCCTATTATTCTATTTTTAGGCGTGATAAAACTCCATATCATGTTCCAAACCACATCAAGCATCATTTCTGAAACAGGAGCTCAAACTCTTTCTCTCTCTCAGGTTTACCACAAGGCGAGTTCCTTTTGATTTCCTGCTTCTTTACACACACTCTCTCCAGTACAGGTTAGCTCTGAGTGTTAGCATGCTAATTTAAACAAAGACCAGTGGCCTGTACTACGAAGCAGGATGTGCGGTTGGCGAGGTAACTTCAGGGTTAACTCTGGGTATTCGTGTATTTTTTCTTTGAATGTTTATCGTACTATCTACTTGATTTAAATTCCATTTTCTTAATGTATTTCATTTTTGTAAAGCACTTTGAATTGCCTTGTGTTGAAAGGTGCTATATAAATAAACGTGCCTTGCCTTCCTGCCTGTTAGAGGTGTTGATCTGCTTTATGCACAATGTTGATTCTTGTCTCAGAACCAGCTAAATACAGGGGTCTGGGGTAGAGAGCACGTCTTGTGAATAAACCCTCAGTGTTTGCCATCAAAGTCCCTGCTCTCCTCGTGTCTCTCTGAGTCTCCATTGCTTCAGAAGTTTCCCCCACAGGGACTGATGATTTGCGGCGTGAGGAAAACACAGCATACATTTCAATATCTGATCCGATATATTCTCCCATATCTACTGTAGCTTCTGTGCACATATGACATTTAGCCTTTGAACTCACCCTGTGGAGTCCCTTCTTGTGCAGAAGCATCTCCGTCAGTTCGCTCAGCGCCTCCTCCATCAAAGATTTCCCAAATTGGGATCAATAAAGTACTTCTTATCTTATCTTATATCTTGAAACGGTGCATTTATTGGGGACTGATGAGTTGTGGAAAACCCAGCATACATTTAAATATCTGATCTGATATATTCTCCCATATCTACTGTAGCTTGTGTGTATATTAAGAGCCGCGATAAACATCTACTTATTTATATAAATAGTTATCACAGCAATAAACCGTATTTAATTTTGTCTTAATGTACGTTATTTAATGTCATATTCTGTTCTTGTACATATCATATTCTATTTACATTTATATAGACTTCTTGCACTACTTTTTTATTTGTATTTTATTATATATGTTGCATTGATGGAGGAGCTCAGGTCAGAAGAATTTTGCATTTGTTGGCGACTGATGATTTGTGGCGTGTGGAAAACCCAGCATACATTTCAACATCTGATCTGATATATTCTCCCATATCTACTGTAGCTTCTGTGCATATATGAATACATCCTTTAACCTTTGAACTCACCCTGTGGAGTCCCTTCTTGTGCAGAAGCATCTCCGTCAGATCTCTCAGCGCCGCCTCCACTCGGCTCCTGAACTCCTCGTCCGGCAGCCTGTGGGAGCAGAACATCTCCATGGATCTGGCAGAGACGTGGCACGCCTGCAGGACGGACTCCCCGGGTCCCAGCGGGGGGGCGTCCCTGCACAATCTCACCACCGAAACCAGTAGGCGGCACACAGAGTCCACCAGTAACACCCCGCCATCGGCGCCGAAACACAGAGGATCGTTCAGACGCTGCAGGGAAAGAAGAGCCTGCAGGAAATGAACCTGAGGGAGGTCGGTTTCTCCATGAGGGCCTGAAGGAGGCATGTAGGGAGGGGGTGGAAGGTGGAGGAGGAGGGAGGAAGGGTGGGGGAAACGGGTGGCAAGGTGGGAGGAGAGGAGGGTGGCATGTTGGGGGTCCGGCAGCAGGAGTTCAGGGGTCTCAGATCCTTCATCAGGGTCTGAGCAGTACGTGTGATCCAGTGCGTAGACAGGAACTGCAAGACACAGAAACACAATTAAGTAAAATAGTGTCGTGTCACTTTTGCTGAACATTTCAGGTACAGAAGGTTCATCTGAAGGTCAGTGATCCAAACGCTGGCCCTTGGGAAAGATACTCACAGGGTTCCTGCAGGTTTCGCCAACTCAAATTTAAGACTTTTTAAGACCTTTTTAAGACCACTTTGAATAGAATTTAAGACCTATTTCACGGCAAGAAAGTACTGTATGAAGGAAAATTGCTATGAAAGAAGAAATACGTCCCATAAATGTATTCATGTTCAACATAAGAACAATGACTGAACATAACAGCATAACAGTACAGAACTGTGTTAGCGTGTTAGACAAAAAGTGTGTATGTGTCTCTGTGTGCTTGTGTGTGTGTGTGTGTGTGTGTGTGTGTGTGCTGTGCAATTAATCATATTTTAATCGCAATTACGAAACAACATAATCGATTATTTTGCTTTGCTAGGTTGTGACAGTGCACTACAACATATTTGATCTAATTAATTTTAGTCTAATTTATTTTTATTTATCATATTTGTATATGTTTAGTAGCTTGTGGAAGTGCGCTCCAAAATATTTGTTGATCTCGTTTATTGGTATTTATTATTTTTGATATTATTTATTTAAATGTATCATTTATTTAATTTATTTTTTCCGTTGAATTATACATTCAGGGTAATCAACAGTTAAAAAGATACTGTCCAAATTATTATTTGTTTTAAAGTTCAATAAATGGATGTTTTCAAAGTCAATGAATAATTGTATTTAATAATCGTGATATCAATTATTGACCAAAATAATCGTGATTATGATGATTGCCATAATCGAGCAGCCCTAGTGTGTGTGTGTGTGTGTGTGTGTGTGTGTGTGTGTGTGTGTGTGAGTGAGAGAGAGAGAGAGAGTGACAAGAGCTATATTCAGAGCTCTGCTGCCTTGGCTACAATCTTTCATCGTTGCTGTTGTATGATTGGTACTACGGTATTTAGCGTCTACAGCACCTCCGCTTTTAGGGTTGACGTAGACCCAAACGTTGCCCGGAGGTCCCACTGTGTTGTTGCGGGAGCTGCTGCACTAGCTAACGCTGCACTAGCTAACGCTACATTAGCCAAACAAACGCTAATTTATTTTGCAAAAGGTGCAGCGGGCTTTAAACACGTTCCCCTCCACTGGTTTCAACCAAGCACTAAATTCGATGTTTTCCAACCAATAACGGTTGAACTTACACTTCCCCATATTTATTCGAAGATACATGAGTTTCTGACTGCAGCTAGCTGAAGCTTGGTTGCTAGGTTACTAGCTGGGTGTTCTCCAATAAGGGGGCCGGCGGAAACAAAGTTAGTGATTACTGGTTCCATGTTGATTTATTTCAATACAAATTGTTGGGGGGAACTGAAAGGCTATTACCATACTGGTTACTTTGCAGCCCGGACATTTCCCCCAAAACACATTTAGACGCTATCGCAACACAGAAGTACCTTTCAAATCCGATCATTTTTAAGACCTTCTAAATCATATTTAAGACCTTTCTTATTTTTTTGGTCATATTTAAGACCTTTTTAAGGCCTTAAATTCAGATTATCAAATTTAAGACTTTTTAAGACTTTTTAAGACCCCGCGGGAACCCTGTACTCAGCCCTGAATCTGTGAATGTGTATTAGCTTCTGATGAACTGGTGGCTGTGGGCAGTCTCTGAAATGTTCTTTTTTGTGTGTTGCACATTTGTTTTTATTGTGATAAAAGGGTATTTTGTACTAAAATAGGCAAGTAATTATTTTAAAGGTCTCCTACCTTGTTGAAGTCTTTTATACATAATAATAATAATAATACAATATTACATTTATATAGCGCTTTTCCTGGTGCTCAAAGCGCTTGTTATAAATATCACTATGTGTCCCCGGTGTGTCCCCGGTGTGTCCCCGGTGTGTCCTCGGTGTGTCCCCGGTGTGTCCCCGGTGTGTCCCCCGTGTGTCCCCGGTGTGTCCCGGGTGTGTCCCCGGTGTGTCCTCGGTGTGTCCCCGGTGTGTCCCCGGTGTGTCCCCGGTGTGTCCCCCGGTGTGTCCCCGGTGTGTCCCCGGTGTGTCCCCGGTGTGTCCCCGGTGTGTCCCCCGGTGTGTCTCCGGTGTGTCCCCCGGTGTGTCTCCGGTGTGTCCCCCGGTGTGTCCCCGGTGTGTCCCCGGTGTGTCCCCGGTGTGTCCCCGGTGTGTCCCCCGGTGTGTCCCCGGTGTGTCCCCGGTGTGTCCCCCGGTGTGTCCCCGGTGTGTCCCCGGTGTGTCCCCGGTGTGTCCTCGGTGTGTCCCCGGTGTGTCCCCCGGTGTGTCCCCGGTGTGTCCCCGGTGTGTCCCCCGGTGTGTCCCCGGTGTGTCCCCGGTGTGTCCTCGGTGTGTCCCCGGTGTGTCTCCGGTGTGTCCCCGGTGTGTCCCCGGTGTGTCCCCCGGTGTGTCTCCGGTGTGTCAGGAGACTCACAAAGTGTCCGAAAATAAAACCCTCTCTTTTCCTCTGTACCCACATCTCTAAAAAACGGGGGACCATCGGAGCTGATCCAGATTTCGTGCGATATGACTTCATATCGGGTTCAAATTTAAAGCTACTGACCCAGAATCAGCACTTTAGTAACAGGGCTGAAATAGATATGAGGGATTTCTAAAATGCATGATCTGTTTGGTATTTTGAGCAAAAGGCTTCATAGACATGTTTTGTATATATCCGAGAGCCATAATATATGCCTAGAAATTGCATAATAGGAGATCTTTAAGTAAAATAGAAAATAAATAAAGATAACCTTTAAAAAATGTAAAAAACAATATATATATTCTCAGTAAAAAGACCTATATTCAGGAGTATCTCAACATTATAAAATATACAGAATATATACTGTTTTGGTAATTCTACTGATATACCTGATGTTATACTTTGTGCATATGTATAAATGTGTCTGTTGATTGTGTATATATACATATTTTTATATATATTTGTATTCAGGATTGTGGGAAACGGTATTGATCTCTCTGTCTGTACACACAAACTGAAAGCTGACTGCATGAATGCTTTGAGATTACTTGCTGAGGTGTTTCCTGTCAGTCTGTTGATCAGTACTTCCTGTCGCAGCCTCAGCACTTCCTGCTGCAGTTCCTCAGATTTCTCCTTCCAGTTTTCATCCTGACGTCTCAGCCTGCAGGCCAACGCCTCGGCGAACTCTCTGCCGCTCACACCTGGAGGCTTGGTCTTTATTATCGCCACCGCCAGAGAAACCTTGACCTTCGTGAGAAGGCACTCTGCTCGACTCGCTCCTAAGAACACAGAGAGGAGGGGACATAAAGAAAAACTCAATTCAGCCACATTCATGGTTTCATTATAAGATCAGAATACACAAATGATACCAACACTGATTTTCACAGCTGGGAGAAGTACTTTAGTAAAAGTAGAAGTACTCTGATCTTGTACTTGAGTAAAAGTAGAAGTACTCAGATCTTGTACTTTAGTAAAAGTAGAAGTACTCGGATCTTGTACTTTAGTAAAAGTAGAAGTACTCGGATCTTGTACTTTAGTAAAAGTAGAAGTACTCACATCTCTTACAGGCATTTTTCAGCCTTTATTCACATATATTTAAACCTTTTACTGCTGTGGATTATTTTACCACCTTTATAAACTGTTGGCAACTTGAATCTCCAGCCAGTCTCATATTCTCACAGAAAACTAAATAAAGATCCTTCATGTTTAAACCTAAAAACAACTGAACTGTGTGTTAATGCACTCACAGGTGCTTCCAGCTAGCTGAACTAGCTCTGAAGCTAACATTAACCATGGCTTTAAAGGCAAAGTTTAGCTCGCTAGTTAGCACGTTGCTAACGTCACTACATAAACCACTGGACATAAATATACACTGTTTCCACAACCCATGTTAATATATTAGTAGTAGACCAAATAGGTAGATAGATATGTCGATATATATGTACAGATGTCCATTTTCACTTTTCACTTTAACTCATTCCGTACTTTATAACTTAGATGACCAAATATGAATATATGCTGACAGTTATTTTACTCTTATTTTTACTCATCTCCTATTTCATAGTCTTTTATTATTATTATCATTATTATTTAAAAAAATTTCTTGATCTTATTTTTGATTTTATTAATCTGTGTGAATCTTTGCTGTCCTGTTTTTTCACGCTCACCCTGTTGCTGCTTTGTACAACTGAATTTCCCCACGGGGATTAATAAAGGTCAATTTTATCTTATAAGACTATAGTTTTAAACTGCTAAACACACCGTCAAACTAAAATCATTTACTTGGAATAATTACTTGTTGAATGGTCTCCGTCATTATCCATTGTTTGCCGTCCTCTACGTCTCCCTGAGGCCCAGCGCTGCGGTGGCCCATCTGTTCACTTGAGTGGTGCAGTGACGAGCATAGATATATATGGTGACGAGTCCTAAAACCCGGAAGTGAGTTAGCATTTTACCCTATTTCTATTTGCCTCACTTCATGAGCTTCACATCACTTGTGCCTTGTACCGCAGAGTTTGCAACGTCACAAATAAATGGGGCCAATCTTCAGTCAGATGTTAATGTGTAATCTAACATTTTCAGTAAGAATAATGGCCAATTGCCTGGTCAAGTTAGATGCTGCGTATCACAGTGCACTGAGATTTGTGACAAACTGTAAAGCATTAACCCATCACTGTACCCTGTATGCAAGGGCTGGTTTGCCTTCGCTAACTACGGAGGCTCAGTCACTGGTACATTTTTATATATAAAGCCATGTTAGGGAAACTTCCATCCTACATCTGCTCCCTGATCTCACGGCGAATTGTAAGTGGCTACTGCCTGAGATCGCATGCTGTGGTTTTATTAAATGTGTCAACTGCTAGGACTGTCTTAGGGAAGATAGCATTTAGATGCGCAGCTCCACTGTCCTGGAATAGTCTGCAATTGAAATGGAAACTGAGCAATCTGGTGCCACTAAATGCTTTTAAAGCTCGGTTGGATGCTACTCAATCGGAAGCTGTTGGTACCTGTTCATGTGGATAGTTATCTAAATTGTAATCCCTGTAATGATGCTGTATGATGTCCTTTTTGTTGTTCTGTTTATGTTTTTATGTTTCATGTGGAACCTACTTGAGCAGGTCTCCCTTGAAAAAGAAATCAATGATCTCAATGGGATACAGCTGGATAAATAAAGGTTTGAAATTAAATTAAATTAAATGGACAAAAGGGAGTGCAAATACAAATACAATTTATTGAAATGTGAACCAAAAGTTAATCAAACATGTTTTAAATAAAAAAGCACATATGGACAGAAGGTGTAAACCTATTAAATGTATAAGTAAACACATTTAGTCAAATAAAGTGACAGACTAGGCCTGTGCAGTTGGTATCAGCTATGCATGGGCTCCTCCATCAGGCCTGGTCCTCCTCGCAGAGGAAAGACCCTCAGTCCTCTCCAAACCAACAGACAGGATGTCCATCACACGGAGGTTTCTCCCTGAAGTCTCTGCAGCTCTCTGGACACCACGCTGTCTCAATCCGTCCACACTCCACACTGAATATGAGAGGGGAAAAATGAAAATAATAAATGCTTTAGACAATAAGAAATATAAAAGTGAACCGTTGAGTTGCTCAGTTTTTTTAGATTGTCAATACTATTACTGTATAACTAATATCTCAGGTTAAGAGGCACCTTCAAATAAAGATGGGTCTTTAAATACATTTTGTCTTTTGAATTGTTTGTCTAAAGTCAAGGATCTAGAACTGGTACTTATAGTTTTAATGATACAGTCTGGTTATAATGCTGTTTGGAGGAGGCCTCACAGGTAAGAGCACTTACTAGCTACCATCACATGTACCTTAGCTTGACTTAAATGTATTAAACGTATAATTAAGTGATAGCAAAATATAAATAACTAATGTCATGCAAACATATTAATATTTGCTTGATTCCAGTGTTGCATTTAGCACATTGCATACAAACGTTAAGGGATTTTAAGATTCTGAAGTATTATGCTAAAAACTCAATAATTTAGATTATTATTTATAGTTTTGCTGAATAGTTTCATGTCCGCTTACCTTAGAAACGTAAAATGTGACGGCAGTGTGCAGATGGGGAGCATGTTAGCTTAGCTTCTTAGCTTGAGCTAGCTCTGTTACTTCCAGCTGGAGGCAGCAGGTCCCGCCTTGGCTCCGCCTCTTTGCCCTTATTTGGAGCAGGCGGGAGTTAGACTCTGACGTCACTGTCGAGCCGTTAGTAGGGTGACCAGGTGCCAGAAAGCCACAAGTGGGACAGAGAGTATGTTTGTGTGGGACAATGTGGGACATGTAAATGTAATGTTGACGCATGAACTGTCAACGGGGGGGGGGCGGGGGGGTTGGGTACACTTTGGACCTCTGTCGCCTGTCAGCGCAACTTACATAATGTCGTTTAAAACATATAATAATGGGCGGTGCCGGCCTTTCTCCGCAGAAAAGCGTTTTGGCCAATCAAAATGAAATATGCGGGACATCGTCTCAATTTGCGGGACGCACCAAAAGTCGTGAAAATGCTGTGCTGTCCCGCGCAAAGCGGGACATCTGGTCACCCTAGCCGTTAGTGGCCGACTCCGGCTTCTCGGCAACTCTGCAGAATCCTATGGGTGACGTCACGGACCCTACGTCCATTTATATATACAGTCTATGATTTTACCACTACCGGTTCCCTCGTCTCAGAGAACCGCAGTGACGCGTGTCACTACCCGATTTGAGAAGGGTCCAGCTGCAGCCGCAGCCGGTGGAGGTTGAACCTGTAGGAAGTTGTAGGAAGTTGTACTTCCAAATATGGTCAGAAGAGAGCGCACCCAACAGGTGAGACGCTGACGCAAGGATATTTAATCAGACATGGAGGTTTACAGAGAACAGACAACAGACAATATGGCGCACCGAGTACAGGTAATTAATGTCTTGTGGATTTAGATATAATTACATACTATTTAGGTTCTCGGTTGTTTGTCGATTTGGCTGTTTAGCGCAGTGTAATTGTGTTTATTTTGCTAATTTGTATTTAAATATTCAAGTTAAAGGAATGGAATACATAAATAATTAGGGCTGTCAAGTTAACGCGTTAATAACGCGTTAACGCAAAAAAAAATTAACGCCACTAATTATTTTAACGCAATTAACGCATGTGCATTTTTTGTCCTCGCCGCCCCGTAGTTTCAGAGCGCATCGAGTTTAAAATACCATCTACAAGCTGATGCTGACAGCCTCGCTCCTGCCGCCCGCTTGTGGCAGACCACACTTCCACGCTCACCGGCAGGCCGGGACTGGCCATCGGGAGGACCGGGAGGGAGTGTGTATGTGTGGGGCGAGCGAGGCACACCTACGTGTTGTTGTTGTTGTTAGCATCTGGTGCTAGCTAGCTGCGCTAACGGATATAAGGAGCTATTTCAATGAAAACAGCGGAGCGACATTTCGCCGACAACTGCGCCGAGCACTTGACTTTATGCAGGTAGCCAATGGGACATTGTACGAAAAGTCAGCACACTCAGCACGGATAGTGCGCGCAACATGATTGCAGCGTCCAGGCAGCTCCCGTTCGAGCATATATGCCTTGAGCTGCACATAGCTCCAGTGTCTCCACATACACACACACACACACGCACGCACGTGCACACACACACACACACACACACACACACACACACACACACGTAATGTTCAGAGGTTGTTGTGTTTAATATTCATGAGAATATTTGTCATTGTTCAAATGATAATAAACAAACATATAAAGCATATTTGTCCACTCATATGTTGATAAGAGTATTAAAAACTTGAAAAATATCCCTCTAAGGTACATTTAGAACAGATAAAAAATGTGCGATTAATTTGCGATTAATCGCGATTAACTATGGACAATCATGCGATTAATCGCGATTAAATATTTTAATCGACTGACAGCCCTATAAATAATATATATGTGTATGCTAACTGAGCGAGCATGTCCTATTAGCATACATGCTAACTGGATAAGCATGTCAAGCTAAGAGCTAAGATATATGTATATCTTAGCTAAGATACATATATCTTAGCTAAGATATACGTATATCTTAGCTTGACAGATGGAACAATGCATGTACTCTAATTTTTCACTATCCCGTCGGGTCGCCAGTCTCTGGCACTGTTATTTTGGGGGTCGCGGGCTGAAAAGTCTCACCATACTTAATCCTAGACAGTAGCACATGGTAGCCTATATATTGTACGACTTTGTAATTTTTGAATGCTGATATGTATTCGCTCATAGCCTACTGTGCCTTTCGCGCAGACAATACAAGTGAATTTTTAAATGACAAATAGGTTTATGTTTCAAGTTTATTTGGATTCAAAACGTGTTTTTAAACCCTTCTGTTCAAAGTTGATATTTTGTTTCTTAAAAGATTAAATCTTTAAAAACATGCTGTTTGCCATTTTTAAAGTTTGATGGAAGAAATTAAATATAGGTCACTGACGTGGAGCTTTAGGCCTGCAATGCTTTAAAAAATAATGTTGGTGTTGTTTCAGTTTTGAGTGAATATGGATGTTAAATTCACAAATGAGTATGAATAACCGTAAACAAGAACAGGATCTTGAGCCATGATGTTTTTAAAGTACAGAAACATTCAGAATGCATGACGATTCCTTCAAAGGTTTTGAAATGGACTCCTAGTACTCTTAATTTATAAAGTAATAATACATGTGAATTATTGAGCTCATTAGTGGCCTGACTGGCCCTCCTAATTTGGTCTAAAAAAAGTCAATGATGATCGCTGTGAAGGGGTGTCCAGTCCATATCAATAACAGACCAAACTACAGGCTAATGTGAGATTCAGAAATTAGTTTTAAAAATCATGTTTTCATGTTTTCATGTTATAGTAGGCCTACCTTACATGAACCTGTTTGAAACCTTAATGACCCCATGATGTGATTATTTATATCTTAAAACCTTTAACAACTATATTTAGATGTTCATAAATATCTACATTTATGTATAAATACATGTGTAGCAGTTAGACATACATTAATAGATCTCATTATTACCTATTTTATGTGTACTAAAAAATAAAGTTTACTAAGCCTCCTTTTTGTTTTAATTTATTAATTAGACCAAATGATTTGTGCTTAAAGTCATATACTGTTGTGTCTCAAACGGATAGACTAGATTATTAATTAATGTGCCTAATAGTTGCTTAAAATGCTACAATAACATTTGCAATTCGTTTTTAATCTGCCATGTACGGTATCAATGTCTCTCAGCCACCGTAGTGTCGTGTCAGGTGGGCGTGTCGTGTAGGGGGCGTGTCGTGTAGGGGGCGTGTTGTGTACTTGCTGCGGCTGCAGCTAGACTGTGGGTGTTTCTCAATCGCG